CCTTGTTAGGATTGCGGAGATCAAAAGCAGGATGTTTTACTAGGTTCCGGACAGTCTCAACATTACCAGGGATGTCAGATGTGGCTTGAAGGGCAAACCATTTGTTCACAACCTGACAAGAATGAAGGATTTTAGATCATCCCCAATCAGAGAAATTTTCATCCTAGAAGTCAAGAACAAATTAGGCAGATATTTACCAAGAAGTCATGCTGCCACTTGTTGTAGAAGTCAGCCAAAACATCATCACGAATTTTTCCAGGACTCTGGGCAATGGCCACCAAAGCTGCAAATTGTTCTGTCATATTGGTGGCTGTATTATACTCATGCAGCACAAGCTTTGTTAATTCTGGATCTTCAAGTGATGCAAGATATCCTACAGAATAGATAAAAGAAAGACAGCAACAATTAGATAACAAAAATTTTAACATAACAACCTTGCAAACAATATGATTTCAAGCAATACAGACCTAGAGCGACATTCTTGAGAGCACGCCTTGCCATGTTAGGATGGTTAAAAACATACTCTTCTGAGCTCCTGTTGGCTTGAACCTGTGATCCCCTCCCCCCAGCCAAAAAAAGGTCATGGATACAAGTTGGATGGCCAAAAAGAGTCATTAATACTAGTCAAGCTGTAACAAAATAGAAAAAAAAAAAAATCAATCAAATAAGCATACAGTGTTTAGAAACTCCGCTTTCAGTTGAGAGGCAAGCTCCTTCCTAATAAATTTTCGAACAGAATGAACAGCATCTGGATCTGCAACTTCCATCAAGTCCATTATCTCCCCTTCACCAGGCAATGTTATTGCCATTGCAATGAATTCCTGGGTAATGGAAGCAAGTTAAAGAAGATGAGGGTATTAATCTTCTGAATTGTGTAGAAAACCCACTTCCCACCCAGAACAGCAAAAGAAAGATCCTTTTGTGGAGATTACACCCAACATACTTTATCCAAGCTTGCATCAGTAAGTATGGATTTGAGACCATGCACAAAATTGGCATTTAGAGCCAATGTTTTGTTTTGCTGGAAGTCTGCAACCAGGCTCAGCATCAACTTCCTTGCTAATATTTGTCCAGCCTCCCAACTGCAGCGCAACAACATCAGGTGAATAAATCTCAAAAATTCGCTTGGCACCTAGATTTGAAGTATTCATGGTTTTGAGAAAGACAAACCGATTAAACTCATCTGAATCATGTGCTAGGAGGAAAAACAGATCACTGTCAGAGAGGGTAGATTCTAGGCGGATAGGAGCACTATAACTCCGCAATAGAGATGGAATAGGCCGCTCAAATATATCAGCAAATACAAACTCTTCTTCTTTCTGCTTGGTAAAAATAGATTGGGAACCAAATTAATATCAAACAGAACCAGAAAAGACATAAGATT